CTCCCCCAGCACTTGCTAACGAGCCTGACCCACCCCCTCACTCACCTTAATTGGTTCTGAGGAAGAGTCAAGCCTGAGCAGCAATGGCCGAGTAGTTCTCCTGGAGGTTCTTATATAGCCTCCCCCAGCACTTGCTAACGAGCCTGACCCACCCCTCACTCACCTTAATTGGTTCTGAGGAAGAGTCAAGCCTGAGCAGCAATCTTTCATTTAGGCCTAGTGGTGATTATTTTCAGCCAGCTAATTTTCAGTCTCTCTTATATCATGAGCACCAGAACAAGCAAGGTCTAAGTTCCGGCAGATTGTCTCTTGTGGTTGACTGAGTATGGTATAGAAGTCTTTCCTGGTATTTATAAGGGCCACCTCCTCAAGGAACTCTGTGGAGCTGGATGAGCTTAGACCTGCAGTCATCAGCTGAAAGGACGCACTTGCAGAATCCGTGTCCTCTGCAGAGATGTCTGCTTTCAAGAAATGTATAAGAACTTAACTGTCACTAGTGGCACTACCCCTCTGGCAGATCTGAAGATCAATCTGCTGTTTGAACAATTATTTTGAGAAATGGAGAAAGGGAGTGAGTGACACAGACACAACAAGCTGCAGGAGAACAGGAATGCTACTTATACACACAGAAGCACTCCTCTGCTTTTCAAACCAACAGTCCCTCATGCAGAAAGATCTGGGTGCTGCAACTCTATAAAGGAAATAAAAACCAAGGATGTGGTAAGATGTGACACGGGAGACGAAGGGTGAATTCCCTAAAAGCTCTGAGCACAACTCACACATTCTGATCCAGGCTAGCACACATCAGAAACAAACACAGGTGAGGGCAGAAAGCATATCTCAGGTATTCTCTCATTTAATTTCAGATTAAACACTGAACATTTGCATACAAGCTTGCAAACAGGAGAAAGCTCTACTTCATTAACACCTAGGTGGAGATAGTGCTGCATAAGCAAATACCAAGCAACTAAAGGAGGCAGAGAATGGAAACAGCTTTTGGCTGCTACCTCAAGTTTCTGGTGCTCACCAAGAGACAAGGAGACAGAACAGTTCCAGGAGCACTTAAAGATATGAAAGCAGATAATAATCTCTAAAGGCCCATAAAATATCAGTGTTCTCTAGCACTCTGGAACAATACCTTCTGATCCCAACAGGAATGATAACAAAACAAGGACAGTCCAACAGCTTGTGCCAGCTTTTTGTCATCCGAGAACAGTGTGGGCTCAAGAATGCCTGTAAGCCCGAGGATTTGACTCCTGCTGTGGTATGGGTAGGTTTCAACTGCTCATAAAACCCGCATATTTTGGGAGAGCCCTCATGCTAAAATGAAGTTTTCTGGAGCACAAGCAATGTGGGCAGCTGGAGGGATCACACAAAAAATGCCTCTTTTCTACTCTTCTACAGATTATGTTTTCATTAAGCTCTTAGTTGAAGATAGTTTATGAAGTCTGGTTTTGTTCTGGTCAGTTTGGTGAATTCAGTTGAGTTTAGAGCTATAGAACAACTCTCACAACTAAAAGCATTTGATTAACTGAATAAGTTGACATATGACTTATGCAGAGAATAGTCTTAACAGACTTCCAGAGTTGGAATTGCTCTGACTTCAGACTTAGTTCTTCAGAACAGCCTCAGGGAAGCCTGAACGGTTCCCACACCCACTGCCTCTTATGCCAACCAGCTGCTTAGGACTGTGCTGAGGTACTACTTATCCGGCAACTTTCATGGGCAGTAATTAAAAAACCCACAATTCTTACTTTGCAGGCATGATGGAGTTTATATGCTGTATCAGTGCTGAATGCCCAGATGGATAAAAGGGTTTTTGTATAGAAACACAAATATTACTTTCTCTTCTACTATTTAAGCCTGTTACTCCATAAAGCAGTTGAAAATAGTGCTGACCTGATTATAACCTTATTCTCATGTAATAATAATATTAATCCCATGAACTGGTACAGAAGTTCCCCAGTACCTTATCTGTATTACTGGATTCAGGATTATGATCAGCTGTGTGTAAGCAATTTCTAGGGCATTGACTGGCCCAGACCTAAACAGCTTTTATTTTTAATGTAGCAATATAATACAGAGGTAAAATAAACCTCTGCATTATGAAATTAGCTGCTACACTGCAGACAACCTACAGAAATATGCAATTACCTCATTTACTAATGACCCATGTGAAACAAACTCCAAATGTATGTTGTTTCTTAGCCACTGTTCCAGAGAGCAGCTCAATCTGTTAACTGAGGGCAGTAAATACCTAATTAAATTAAATCTCCAACAAGCCTGAGAAAACCGTATTGAAAGCACTCTGCTTGATTACAGGCATTGGTCTGAGGGAACAGACCTATTGATCTGGTCAACTTCAAGCTTGTTCACTTCACCCAATTTAATTTGAGAAGAACAATAACTAAATTTTAGCTGGATCTCCTTTTCCCCTCTCCAGGGAAATAATCTGAAGCGATTCTTGAGTTCAGGTAGCATACAGAAAATATTTAATAGGTCAAAGAAAACATTTATTTTGTTGCCACTATGGACAAAAATCTACATTAAAAATGCAAATATGGTTTCCAGTGCAACATTTACGTAGTGTGCAGACAGGGTCATATGCCATGAGCAAAATTCTCTGGTGGGGGCAATAAAGCAGTGGTTCTGCACATTCAGAATGATATTAAATACCATATTTCAGTAGTTGCAAACTAAATGAAAACAACTGAAAAAACCCACACACAACCCTGCCACCTGTGCCCAAATATTAAGGCTCTGTGGTAATCCAACATTACTGCCTCATCTACCGGGTAGGACATCTATCCAATCTGTCCAAGAAGAATTTCCTTAATTAAAGAAGAATGAACATTTAAATTGGCTTGCTACACCAAAGATAGTTCACAGTCTCTACTGAACAGTTCATGACTTATCCTCTGCAGGGTCAAAATGTAACAGATTTGTGCAGACATGCTAAGTCTAGCTCTTTTCTCCCTTTACTTTGGATACAATCCTGAAGTAACTATCCTGGTTTTGATAGGTATCCCTGAATAGCCATACGTTTCATTATACAAACATAACTTTAATATTTTGAGGCTCCATTCTGAAAGTAATCAGTAGCCTTACTTGTTACTGTTTCTTCAGAACCACAATCCTCTTTTCTCTTAGACACCTCATAGTCCAGTTTCTGGGCTAATATAGCCACAAGTGGTTTGTATTAATCTGTTCTTGCTCCAGTTTCGTCCATAAGTTTGGAGAGCCATTCCTCCCATACTTAGTTGCCTTCTCCAGAACTTGTTAAAAGAAACCAAATTAAGATTTTGTTTTGCCAAGCTGAACAGGACAATCTCTTTTAAGTCCCTTCTCCAAGTACACTGCCCATTTCTCTCACCATCTTCACCATCTTTTTTTGGCAATTTAAACTGTGCCTTTTCATGCATAAGAGATAAGAACTACATAAAACATTCCAGATCAGATCTCACCACTCTTTATACAGCCTTTCCCACCTCTACTGAAAAAACTTCTCTGGTAAATCATAGGACTGAATTTGCCACCATGTGTCAATGGCTCAGCCACGCTGATCCCTGAGGCTACAAATGTCAACTCTGTCCCCTTTTCTTTTTATGAACTGAGGAGCTTTTGGCTGTCAGCAGAAATTCTTGTTACCAACCTTTCAAGCACCTTAACTTGAATTCCGTATTTCTACAAATTTCTTTTTGTAAGCTCAAGGCCACCTATTTTTTTCTTGTTTGATATCCCAAAATTGATCTGTATATTCTGTAGTATCAATGTCTGCATTTGTGTAAGCAAACTTCACAAGGATATACTTTTATTCTCTGCCCACTTGTGTTGTCATGTCCACCCCCTCAATTTGGCAATAATTCACCCAGTGTATAAATGCTACTGCTGTAGCTCAAGGGGTAGTACTGCTACTGCTTAAAATAAGTGTCACTATAAAAACAGTCCAAAAAGTTAAGGACTGAAAACAAGTTATGGTGTATAATAAAAAAAAAAAAATTACAAAGGAAAAGTTGAAATGGTTTTGTTTTATACGATAGGAGATTACTATTTTTGCCTCATCACACATACCTTTTTTAGTGTTGGGAGAGGCTAGAGAGTTTTGAAAAGGTTATTTGTGGCTTGATATCTAAAGATTGGAAATCTCACACAATGCAGATCTATAATAAAATTATACAGTCACTGCAGAACAATGTTTTAGAACAGCAAAAAGGTCTGCTGCTAACAGGTAAAGAACAACACTTGTAATTATTTCACCAAGTTACAGTGGTCTGAACTGTCGTTCAGATTGAACACAAACTTGAAACTGCCTGTTTTAAAAAAAAAAGTACTTCATATCTAGCCTAAACTGCAGATTTAACAAAGTTAACAAATTTTAAAAGTAACAGAGATTGATGTCACATTTTCTTGGACCTTTCATCTTTGTTTTTTGGGGGGGTTTTTTGTTTATTTGGTTGGTTTTTTTTTTGCTTTGGAATCCACACAAAGCACACGGCCTTTCTCTGACCTTACATCATCATAAAATGTAGACAGGGAAGCAGGACATGGCTGGGACTACTCATTGTTCAGTATGAGAATTATTACCCACTGACAGGAGTCCTGCTCTTTTTCTTTTTCCTAATCACAAATTGAATTCCCATCAAAACCAAAGAAATATTTGTTGTTTACAGGGGAAAAAAAAGCCTCACAGGAAAATTCACTAAATGAACATCTGCTTTCTCTATAGCCAAGTTACATATGCTTCCTTGAAGATGAATATCAGGTTTTCTGTTAACAGACGTTTTCTGACATCAGGTTTTTGTACACACTGGCTGTTTATCACACACTCTTTTCCAAATATGTTCAGTTTTGTCCCAGTTTTGTCATTTGTACAACCCAGCTTTAAAAACAAAAAGCCCTACAGCCAGTAGAGGAAGTGAGATTAAAGAGAGGCTTGTTCTGGTGACATAATCACACAGACTCGGAGGAACAAGAAGCCTTCATCTCTGCAGCAGCCTTACCCTTCTGCGCAGCCTGTCCCTCTCTTCACGGACAGCATTCATGGTGGCCTTGGTCCTGTTGAGCTCCTCCTCTTTGCTGCACAGCATGGCCGTGAGGCTTTCATTCTCTTCTCGAAGGCCAGCGAGCTCCTTCTCCCATCGAGACCTCTCCTCTGACAGATTTGGGTAAAGGTCACGTCCCAGTACACCCTCAATCTCTTCTACAGTCTGCAAAAATAAAGTCATCAAAAACAAGAAAGAAGCAAAGATAAGTGAGCAGGACTAATGGGTACACAGGACAGAAGTGTGTAACAGGATGTAACTCTATATTCTTATATGTACACGTGCAGCCCCACAACATCATTAGTTTGCTTCTTTTGTTTGCTAATCAATATAAAACAAAATTATTATTTTCTTTGACTATTTTATTAAAATATTTTGTACTGACAAACACTGAAGCAGACAGATATATGCAAATAAAATATATGTCAAATGTGAATGACAGCAATCCCAGTAGTTTCATCATGGAACACTTCATAACAAATTAATGATTTCTTGTCACGGGAGAGTCCTGTACTTACTGTTTCCCTGCTAAGTAACAGGCAGAAAGTAGCAGCATGTGAATGTGCATTACATGGGGCCTTTCTCAGTTCTAGATCAACATCACAAAAGGGCAAAGAAAAGAGTGGGAGGGGATAAAAAGAGGACTCTTCTTTCCCATGTCCCTGAGTTTGTTCTTTCCTTGATGTGACAGCAATACAAAAAAAAGATCTCTGGCCTTGGCTAGGCTTCCATTATACCAGAAGATGTTACAGCCTTTCTAGTGCCTGCAAAAGTGCTAGGTTTCTATTGGACATACAGTGCCATTCACCACTTCCCGACCCACCTTGTTGCTCAGTGCCTTGTAGGTACCAATCAGTACTGGGGACATTCAGTAACTTCCAGTGGGTGAAACTAAACTACATTTGCCCATCACCAGCAAAAGAATACTGCCATGGCTAAACTTACTGTCAGACTGGTCATTCAACATACTGAAACACAGCTTAACACTCAATGTGTCAGGGAACAACATGCAGTTCTGAATTTAGTACACAGTGTATGGCGTGCCTGTGTTCAAATGGCAGAAACACTCCAAATGTCACATATAAGCTTTTGAATCTCTCTGAAAACAGTATGCATTAAAATCATGGGAAGAAATATGGAAAATAAAAGGAATATATGATGTAACTAGCAATGCAGAAAGTTTCATTTCATTGGATAATCCAAAACCAAGCTATGGTTAAAGCCTATATACTTTTATGTATAATATGGAAGATAACTCATGCACCAAGGTTAAAAAATAGTCTATTTAGTTGTTTTATTCAAAAGTACTTAACTTCTATATTCTAATTGATCCCTTCCAATTCAGTATGTTTTAGGATTTTAAATATAACAAAAATTACTGTCTTGTTTATTTCCTTAAATCAGGAGGGACTAAAAGAACCAACTAGAGTACAGATGAAAATGACAAACCAAGTTAGAAACACAATTCCCCCTTTTTTTATTTCTTCAAGAAATCTTCCCAGCGTTTTCAGCAATGTCTTGACTTTGAGGTATCAAATCTTATTATTTGTCCATTAAAATGACAAGTTGGTTACTTATGCTTATCAAGCAATAACCTTAAAGAATAAATCTTGGCTACAGCAAGACTCCTTACTGAGAAGGAAAAGACACTCATATAAAAGCAAAAACATACTTTTAACAACTAGTTTGAAATGCCTCTAGAGGAAGCAGCGACAAAACTTTAACAGTCAAGCTCAGTTTATCCTTTTAAATCATATTTCATGTCTCTCTTCTATAAAACTGAAATACATTTAGAGTCATAATTATAAAACTTTATTGACAGAGCATCTACACCACAATTCTACTTACACATTTGGTATTAAGTTGAAATTACTTTTCTAAAAGAGCAGTGCCTTGCAAAATCTAAGATGAAAGAGGCTGCAGCTCTCCCTTACATTAGCTTCACTTGGACCTATAGGTCTCAAATTATGACAACGTAAATTATTTCAACACAGTATGACAATGAAGTTTAAGTTCTGAATAAGCACAGGGCAGTTAATCTTACAACATGAAGTAAAAGCTCTGCAATGGCAGGAGAGATCTCTTTCGATTTATTTTACAGTGCCTCTTTGTTGCTGTCTTCTCCTGTCCCTTCATCCCCCTACACCCCTTTTGAATTTTCCCTGCTGTGTTTTCACACCTTTAACACAAAGTTCTGCTGCTACCTCCTTATTCCCCATGCTCCTGAGCGCTGCTGTTTTTCCAACCCCTCCCTTTTCCAAGCCTCTTCTCCTCCTCAGAGCACTACTGGGGGTGATAACCCTGTAGCAACACCAAAAGAGAAAGGATTGCCACGAGGAAGCAGCAGCAGTGGTTTAACACCACAGAGGTATCTCCAGACAGAGAAACTGGTGCTGTTTTTCACAGCTCCAGTGCTACCACATGCCCACGCAAGTGCAAAGTTCAGGCACTGACAGCATCAGGGTCTGAGAGTCATACTAGGGGCTGCCCTATAATCCTAAACAAAACCAAGGGACCACGCTGCTTCCTTCTGTGCTCCTTCATTTTGCAATGATAAGTATCCTTTTGCTGACTAAACTATTATAACAATTCTCCAGTCTGATGACCAATATGCTACCATCCACCATGGTAAATAAAACATAAATGTACTTGTATATATCTGTTTATATGGATATATCTAAGTGTTGCTTATTTTTTTCAGACCAGTATCACACAGCAGTTTTATCTGCTGCACAGCAGATAAATTCAGGTATAATTTCACAGATATAGGATTGAATTACAATGCAGTGTTCTGAGCACAGGGCAGGATGCCCTATCATGGTAATTCCAGTTTTGTCTCTGACACCGCCATCAGTAATCTCTGCCTTAATTCCTTTACAATTTCTTTACAAGCAGTGTTGTGTTACAGATATGATATCAGATGAAATCACTGATTATCAGGTCTGAAAGAAGTAAAAGAAGTACTCCTTCACATGGTATAACTCAATGGTAGAATTTATTCCTACCAGAATTTAATGATAAATCCCATTTCAAAGTCTTTTCAGCTTTTTGTGTGACAGAAACTATTGATTTAGCTAGGGTCATGTGATTTGTATAAAATAAACAAAAGAACAATTTACCACCAACAGCATTAGAAAGAAACCAGTGCCAGTGACATTTAACCATCAAAGCAGAAGGATTCAACACATTCAGATTCATTAGTCCATTGGTGAAGAAAAAAGCCAACAGTCAAATCAAAAGGCAGAATACTTCAGGTTTCCATTCATGATTCCATCCATTTTAAAAATCTCTCAGTTCTTTGTCTGAGGAAGCAGGAAAAGAGAAATGACCTGCAGCCATGGGTGGAATGGTAGAGAGGGGCTTGGCACGTAGGTTTTGCTATATTAAACACATTAGTGACACACTTCCCTAGTGCATAATCGAGCATGTCACAGAGATTCCCATCTTCCTGAAAGGTTAATAACCTTTGCATGCTATCACTTGTCAAACTCAAGCACAGGCAGTGGGGAAAAGCATTCCCCCCAAAATGGCTATGCATGTACAGATCACACGAAGATAAAAAGGCTTGTGTTTTGGACCAGGAAGAAACTACTGATAGTTAGTTATCATTACAAAAGTATGACAGTAGTTAATGTGAATCAACATTAAAAAAAGGGATGAAAATAAAAAGCTTGAGAATTGAGCTTTTGGCAGATATTTTGACACTTTGTTGAATCCAACTCCTGCAGAAGTCTTGATCTCATCTCACATCAGATACCTCTGATACCTGAGACTGATCTCTACCTTTTTTACAGGATCCACAGTCTCTCTCTTGGTTAATACTGACTTCTGAAAACAGTTAATCCTAAAACTTCAAATACTACTTGGTAACATTCAAAGTATTGATCCTAATCCTCTGAGACACTCAAGTAAACTGCTTTAATACTGATGCCAAGAGACTAGAAGTCAGTCTGTCTCCCTCTCTCTCTCTCAAATATACACACCTTCTTCAAATTACTATTTTCAACATTATTCTTTTTAAATTTGATTATATTCCTCAGGCACCACCAGGGACAGAGGGAACTTTTCCCAGCAGTATGCCAAAGGGCTGTCAAAGCCATCTAAAATGGCAGCAGTCCATCCCAGAGCAAACTGTCATCTATTTTTTTCTTCTATAAATGAATCATTGACACCTTTCCATTTATCACAAAGAAACCTTTTCAGGTCTTTCCCTGTATATAAGATACTCTTCGTCCTGCTCACTTTCAGGTTCTGAATTGCAATCCCTTTGTTACATGTGCCAGCAGGTAACCCTCTTCTTGTTCTGTTACATGTACAATACAAGCAAGACACACAGGTATCAGCTCAATTACTTGTTTCTGAGTCTGACTTGTCTCATTTGAACTAACACACCACACATGCCTCGTGTTAAATTGGTTTTACATTTTAAGACAGCCAAGTGACAACTTAGGTGTACGCACTGTGTTTTCAGTTACCAGTCAATGATCAGCTGAAGCACCTTGGGCAAGTGACAACCTGTTTGCTGGATAAGCAAACTTGCCTAAGAAAGTAAACTAAGTGCTGTCTCCATTTCTCTTATCTCTGAAATGAGCATAAGACAAATACATTTCTGATTTGAGATCAAAAGTATATTAGTAGCTCCTCCCAAGCCTTGGAGAACTCAGTGTAAAACAAGTGTATTACTACTTACCCAAAAACGTGAACTCGAGTTGATTCACATGAAATACTCTGGCACCTTTAGAAGTGAAGTGTTATTACTACAGAAGTGATCAGGTGTGTCAGGCGACACTGCATTTAAAGCCTAATGCTACCATTACCTTAATGGCTAAATCACAATGTTCACTGGCAGTAGTGAGTTGTTCAATGTGTCTGTCCACTTCTGCTACTGATAAACTGCAGCTGCTTTTCTTCCGCCCGCAGACAACATTTTCCAGACCTGTCAGCACTCTTTGCAGTTCTGAATTCAAGTCACTACAGTTATCTAAAAGAAAACAAGACAAAACAAAACAAATATCTCAACAATTAGTGACTCAGTGAAAAAACAAACTCTCACCCAAGAAGTGCCTCTTGCAGAATAGCCAGGACTGATAATGTTCAAGGAATGTCCTCACACTCTGCCACTTTTTTCTCATCAATTGATAGGCTTAAATACCATAACCACACCAAATGAAATCATGAGTTACCTCCCACCTAACTAAACAGTCCCTCTGCTTGTCTAAAGTCCTTATTCTTCCTTCAAATACTCCTCTTGTCTGAAGAACATTTTAAGACATCATATCCTTATACTGTAAGACATTTCTTTATATTATTCTTTTGACCATTCAAGGCCAATTATCCTGAATTTGTTACCCTCATGGGTTTCTCTCTCTAAATTCAACTGGTTTTTTCTGTCTGGTACATTTATTGATGTTATGACAATGCTTTTCAGAGGAATTTTTGTGGTTATACTTAGAGACTGCCTGACTTAAAAAACCCCTGCTGTTTACGGAAACAATCCCTACCCACTACCTAAGAATCTATGCCTTATTTTAGTAGCTACTCCTACTTCTGCACTGCAGAATATTCAGGGATCATAACACCACAGCTTATTTTTTGTTATGCTCCATACTACAACCATATTAGAAGTTTATACAACGTTATTTTAATTATAAAATGCAGCAGATAATCACTTTCTTTCTTGACTTTAGGCTACCTCTTCTAGGGCCTTAGGCACTGCCATAGCATCCTCCATTTTTTGAAAACAAGTAGGTCTCTGCACCTTGCTGGCTCACTCCATAAATTATTTTCATAAATTATTTTCATAAATTATTTTCATTTTTTCTTAGGCTCTCCTCTGGTGACAGACAGTGGCACTTCCTACGTGTGGTAGAATTCACCCTTGTGCTCTCTCTCAGATGTGCTATTTAGTATTTCTGGCTTTCTAGGTTAGAGTTTGCAATAGCTACCCACAGCACAGCACACAAGTGGTGCACTATGAGATGGCAGTGCACCCACAGCTCCCATGTCCTACTAAAAACATCCTACTAAATGCATTTTTGCTGCCAAGAGTTATTTCTGTATTACTGCTGCAAGTGTTTTACGATGGTCAGAATTCCATGATGGCCTCATAGCTGCGGTTCTTACAGGGGATTAAAGCAGTGATGTGACTCTTGGGGATGGTCCTGTGCAGAGCCAGGAGTTGGACTCGATGACCCTGAGGGGTCCCTAACTCGGCATATTCTATGATTCTATGACCCTGTGAAACACAAACCTATTGCTGAACAAAACAAAGAGTTTAGAATGATGTCACAGCATTGCATGAAAAATGTGAAGGGACAACATACAAAACTTCACTGGAAGTCATATTCACTAGTTCCTGTCTAGCAGCCACCCATCTGCTATAATAATACCAAAAAAGCCCTTTATAAATGATAACAACACTCCCTTATAAGCAGCATACAGCAAGCAGGATGCTTACTTGTAAAAACCTCTGGTTTTTCACTTTAATTAGTAAATTAAAGTTTCCATAGCATCTTCTGGAACAAACATTTTGCACATTTAAGCAACCTTCAGAAGATCTTGTGTGCTGGGTTTTGTTACTACAATCACATTTTCCCTATAAAATAATGGTTTGTCATGTGAGGAACCCATTTCTGACAGAAACCAAATCACAAGATCTGGAAGATGTACTGGAGAGCATTCATAGTTCTAGCTCTAGGTGTTTTATTGCCTGTAGCAATAGAGTAGCATATCCACATGCATTAGTGTGTCATGAGGTATTACTGGCTTTACTAAGTCACTGATGCTTACTCCATTAGGGCAGTAAGCAAGTCACGCACATGGTTATTATATCATGATTTTTTAATCTTTATACACCTAATCTTTATATCTAGAAAGATAAAAAATATACTTATTTGTATATGTGTGTGTGCGTGTATGCATAATTTATTTTCTCAGGAATATGGAAACAGACCCCAAGAAAAGACAGTCTATGTATATAAGGAAAACACGGAAGAAATGCAAGAATCCCTACAGCTGGCATTCGTATTTTGTCTATTGCTATATGTACGTCCACCCTTAAGGGGAAGGGAGTACCCAAGTTTTGTAGATGCTTGTGGTCAAAGGAATGACAAAAGTCAGAGTCCATGAAAGCTCATAAAATTTTATTAGTAGATTACACACTTGGCATGGATGTAGAGCAAGCATACTGGAGCTTTGTGGGGATACCTGTTTATAGATAAATTATAAATAAATTTCCCCTGCTCTGGAGATCAGTTTCTTGCTTTCTATGCAAATCAGTTAGCATGTGCAGCCAGTTCTTTCAGACATTTCTGGAAATGGGTTGGAGGCTTTGGTGCTTTTGGGTGGTCTTGATCCCTCCCTACAGTCCATGCTCACTTTTCATTCTCATTCCTGCACTTGATGTGTACCGTGTTGTACTTATCTCTACAGGAGCTGACCAAGAACATTTGTCCCAGAAAAGTGCTGCTCACTCCTCCACACATGCCCCTTCTCCAGCCACATCCTGTTCGTCTTGTGGTGCATTATTACCAACAATCCTTGGCTGTTATTATCAATAATCCTTGGTTGGCTCCACATCTATCTGGCCATTCATGTTTTGAGATATACACATCAGCCTCTTATCTTCTGGGCTTCTACACTATATTTCATTTTATTGCCTTGTTTCCCACTGCTGGTCGAAACTTAAACAGATAACTTGCCGTTAATGTACAAAAATCCTGGTTCAGTTCCACCCCATGAAAATACATGCTGAAAAGTGGATTAGTTTCGCTCTTTTGGTCAAAATAAAATTAAAGGGAAATAAAGGTCCTCATATCACAATCTGTTCAAGTAGGAACATAACAGTAAACATTAACTTTTGAAAGTAAAAACAAAATAATTTTTTAAGAATATAAAAACCTCTACTAAAATATCTTGACTCCATCCAATATTTTGTTAATACTTTGAATTCTGTAAGTCAGACATCTCACAATTACATAGATACTGTTATAGAACATCCTATTCTATCTATGTTTCTAGAAAATAAATACATTGAAATACAGTGGCTGGTCTTACATTTATAAACAATATGATACAGAAAATAGAAATAGTATTCTGAATAGAGTTCTGAATAGCGAGGATCACACCAGACTTCTGCTAGTCTACAGCTACAGTTCTCATCAATTGTGCCCAAACACTTAAAACATCACGCTGGAGGTCTAAGATCTGCTCATGCCTACACTGCAAAATGTATGGAGAAATTATTTCATATGTGGAGGTTCTTCAGTTAATCAGTAATTACACTTGAATGACAAAATAGACAAAATTCTGAAGGAAAGGCGCTTGCCTTCTTAGTTCTTAACCAGAAAAAAATGAGTTGCAGATTGTCTGGAGGTCCTCCCTCCTTGCACTTTGTTTGAATGGCTTGTGTCAGATGCATCCTTGTCTAAATCAATTTCGGCAAGCTATGCCTATCCATGCTTTAACAAGACCCTCAGTTTTCAAAAAATGTGGACATCCTCTATAATTAGGCTTTAAAAGAGTTCCATTAGGCTTTTTCCCCTAACTTTTAATCTGTCTGCAATTCTTTTCTAAAGTTAGACTACTTCACAGGGAAGTTATAGCCAGGTGGGGGTTGGTCTCTTCTCCCAGGCAACCAACAACAGGACAAGGGGACATGGGCTCAAGCTCTGCCAGGGGAAGTTTAGGTTAGGTGTTAAGAAGAAATTCTTTACAGAAAGGGTGATCAGGCATTGGAACGGCCTGCCCAGAGAGGTGGTGGATTCACCATCCCTGGAAGTTTTTAAAAAGAGATTGGACATGGCCCTTAGTGCCATGATATAGTAATTAGAGTTGGATCAGGGGTTGGACTTGATGATCTTGGAGGTCTTTTCCAACCCAATCTATTCTATGATTCTATGATTCTATGACATGTAAGGTACATGAATATCTTTCATCCCTTTTGTATTCCTAAAACTACATGAGCTCTCATGAACAATATTCCATTTTAACTCCATAGGTATTCTACACAGCCAGTGTGGCCAGCAGGACCAGGGAAGTGTATTGGGCATGGGTGAGGCCACACTTCAAGTCCTGTGTCCCATTATGGACCCCTCACTACAAGAAGGACATTGAGGTGCTGGAAAGGTAACAGAGCTGGGGAAGGGTCTGGAGCATGAGTCTGATGAGGAACAGCTGAGGTGGTTTTTCCTGGAGAAAAGAAGTCTCAGGAGGGATCTTCTCACTCCCCAAAAAGAGGCTTTAGTGAGGTGGCGGTTGATCTCTTTTCCCAAGTAACAAGTGATAGGACGAGAGGAAACAGCCTCAAGCTGGACCAGGGCATGTTTAGATTAGATATTAGGAAAAACGTTTTCACGGAGAGGGAACAGACTGCCTAGGGAAGGTGTGGAATCACCATCCCTGGAAGTGTTCAAAAACTGTGTGGATATGGCACTTGAGGACATGATTTAATGGTGAACATGGTGGTGGTGCTGGGTTGGACTTGATGATCTTTGAGGTCTTCTCCCAACCTTAATGATTCTATCACCACGCCACAGAGGTTACTTCACATACAAGTCGTGTAGAAGTTCAGCACTAGTTATGATTAGCACATCCCAGATTAATTTATTTCCTCATCAAATGTTTGCATCTGCATTTCAAAGGCTATATGTTACCTTTCTGCTGTGAAAAGGCATTATGTCTACACTAGGAAGCACAACTCACCCATATCTGCAGTGACCATGGTGGACTGATTCTCTGGTACCGAAACAGAATTCTGGTCCGCGCTGCGCGAGTCGTCATTAACCTCCTGCTGGCTCTGGCTGAGCTCTGACCGCAGCTCTGAGTACTCATCCTCCTCCCTGGGAGACAGAGCAAAGGCAGAAATAAAATCCTCTGAGGAAGTATCTTCTGTGACGTTTATTTCAGTCCTGTCAGCTGAGCCACAGGATACAATCCACAGAAGTTTTGTTCAGTCAGTAGAGAAGATTTATACCCTTCGCTGCAAAGCAACTGTGCTATGCCCATAACACCCACTTGCAGCAGCCAGTGCCTGGTTTCCATTTCTTTATTCCCAAGTTCATTATTACTCCAGACCACTGTAGAAGGAAACGATGGGTGGAACTGAGTGCTAGCAAAGATGTGTGCAAGGACATACAGTGCTCTGCAGCAGTTCCCCAACTGATAATTCACACGGATCAGCACAAGTAGCTTTGATCCCAAAGTGGATTAGAAATAACTGCTTTTGGTCTCTTTCTCAGTTCAAGGATGTCATCAGCTTGTGTGCAAAGCAAGCATGCACGTGTACATATCTGCATATGTGTATCAAAATGCTCTTAGAGACAGGGAGTTTTTAATTTTCTCTTCTCAAAAGAGATAACACATAAGTGAGTATTGCACTGAACTGCTGGAGTTAGCGGAAAACAAAAAGCCTCAGTTATCTAGGTTTTAACTAATTTGTCAAGCTGGTTCAACTAAAATCATTGAGGACACAGAATACTTTAGCTAAAGCTAATGAGCTTAAAAAATTAAGACTTTTCCCTCCTGTCTCCACACAAAGAGTTCAAAGCACTGGGGGAGAAGATAAGTAAATGAATAATAGCTTTTCCTGAGAACATTTGTAAATATTTTTTCTTGTTGATTTGACTCTGAATTATTTTTCTTTTACTTTCATAGTGACTGTTTTTACATTAAAGTATCTTTTAAACATGAGAAAAACACCAGTTTATCCAGGTGCAGAACCTTTCTGAAAGTAGACAAACAGCTATCATTTTGTTTCACACTGAATCACATGCAGTGATTAATTTTGCAGCAGATTCAGCAGAAAAGTGGGAGAATAAAACTGCATTTGGAAACAGAAATAGCAAAGACCTGTCTGTGGATCTGCATCTGAGAGGAGTATCTGTAATGCTAAGTTTGCTGTGAATATGCCACATACACTGCAGGTATGGTGATGAGTATTTCTTGCAGGATTCAGCCTGGAGTTGCGTCTGCATTTTTCAGGCAAAACAGCAGAGAAGATGGCCCCTGCACACAGGGATCAATAACAGAAGTGAAGTCTGCTCTCAGAGTTGCAGAGCTGACAACTTATGAACCCATCTCAAAAACTCAAAAAAAGGGAATTTTAGTTTGCTTGCCAAGCAGGGTTTCCCAAGGTACTGAGATGTATTTTCTACATGAACTACCATGCTCTTCTACCTCTTACATTTGCTTCAGTGCAGAGAAAGTGTGACTTTATCAGAAGCACTTAGTGACCACTACTAAACAAAATGCAGGTCAGACAGTTAACAGAGATTTAGATTAAAGAAAGGTCTTTGAGTTACCACGCAATATTTGTTTCAGACAGTGTGAGAACTCAATCATGAATAGCAGGAATTGAAACAGTGAGTTAATGTTCCATGAACTAGTTTATTATTAGCCTCAAAACAAACCAGTAGTAATTAGCTTTGGACAAAAACAAACAGTCCTACATTTTTAAAATCTAAATTACCTCTAATTGGACAAAAGGCTATACTGACCCTAAAACAATGGCACACACCACTCTTATTGGGCTCTTCTTGCATAAATTTTCTGTTTAAAACACAGCATAATGTAGCTAGCACTAGTTCTTGTTTTTCAGTTTAAGCACCCTCAGTATGTTGGAACAGTTGAAAAGTATGTCATGTGGCAGAACTCACCCCCTTCTGATGACTCAGGTGAGAAATCATTTTCTATATGAACTAATTCTTCTAGGATCTGACCAGGAAGTTCAGAAATCCATTTCTGTTAAAGTGACAGCTAGATCAGTCACTCCACCACCAGTCCCAGTGGGAATAGACTGAGGGTAAAAACAAGGGGAATTCGAGGGCAGTGATACCTCAAAATATAAATTCTGCCTTTGAAACTAATGCTGACAGTGACAAAAGATATTGCTTTCCACCTTTCTCCAAAAGAGAAGAGTCCTCCAGAGGCACTGGAGATGCAAGGTGCTTGGCAACTGACTGCAGGAGGTGGAGGCATTACAACTTTCTCATTCTGCCATTATTGACAGCCTGGATAGAGAAAGTAGGTAAGTAGGTACTTGTTCTGCTACGGGCCTTGATAGTTTCCACTTGCTGGAATGTCATGGTGAGGTGGAGGCAGTTAAAACCAGATCAAGCCATTCTAGCACAGAGTGATTTGGGATCAATGTTAGAGAAAAAACAGTGTGGTTTTCAGGTACTTCTGCACTAATTGCTTTCTTCGCGTTCAGGTGCACCCAAGGATCACAAGTGCTGCACAGATACTGAGGAAAATGTCTTCAAATAGTGAGCAAAATGCACAATTTTCAGCATCCTTTCACACCAAAGATGAGTACTTCCACAGTGCTGACAAGGACCATGTTCTCTTCACAGCTACAAAGGGTGCATGGCTTCACACTTTAGGTGCCAGCGGTTTTTCAACACACACTTTACTTAAATAAGTACTTTTAAAGCTCTCTAAGACCCTCAGATAGAAAATACTACAAGTGCATGTGCACTGCAACTCAGATATTCACTGCACCCTGTGTACAGACACTCTGAACTAGTTCACCTGAGACAACATGGGAATTAATCGCCGAGGGTAGGTAGAGCTGGGCATTGTATGTTGAAGCCAACATTATCACATCCACACTGCCATTTGAATTGAATCCAAAGTGTGCTAGCTTCCACCTAGCACATATTTAGAAGCTAGAATTAGACCTGCAGGTCACTATGTAAATGTGACAGTAAGTGCCATGCATTATTTAGTTTGATGCTGTTGTCTATTCACTCTCCTTCTTCTTCATTAACTCCAACATAACCTACTTTCTAAACATATTTCAGATTAAAAGTTGTAAGTCTGAACCAGTGGTTTTCCAGCAATGGGTTACAAGCTTCTTCTTGTCAATTGTTTCAAATAATTCTTAGCAGGTACCAATGTTGAACAGAGTATATTTCTACCTGTATTGTTATAGTCTATTTTTAGAGTTGCAGAAATGTACCCAAACAGCGACTGGTTTAGAACTAAAAGGAGTTAGATCTCTCTCTTTTTCCTTTTCCCAAGCCTTTATTTAATATCTAAGAAAAACTGTCAGTCTTATATGAAGTTACAGATGATTCTGACAGACAAAAATAGGATTAAGAAAAAAGATGAAGTTTGAATGAATCTAAGTCAAGACTAAAAACTTCTGAAGTCAGAAATATTAATCTTTAATGTAGATGTAAGTCCATTTTAGTACACCACTGTATAATTTATAAATCCTCTCTGTGCTTAAGAGTTAATTGGTGCATCCTTTATGTCCAAGTATTGACAATATGACTCTATAATTGGGAAGATCCATTTGATTGGTTTTGCTGCCTTCTAGGTTGTACACACTTTGAGAGAAAACAGGAGTGACATACATCTTGTCGAAGGACAGAGAACCTTGGCAACATAAGGCTGGTCTACTCGCATATGAGTATCAGCAACTCAATTTTTAGCCTTAGTATCAAATCACTATTTCGCCTTTTCTGCTGTCCAAAGCAGCAACAGCAGCAGGGAGATCAGACAATTGCAGATGAGTGCTGGCTTGCTCAACCATGGTGAACTCATTTTTCTAAGGGAATGCAGGAAGAATCTAGTGCAAGAGCTGCCACCAATTTCATGGGGACACACATGTGGAACTTGCTGTACCCATGAAATAGCTAGCAAACCTAGAAAAATCCTGTAAACTTTTAGAATATTGCTGTAAGATTAACATTATTAAGTTCGGCAGGTCAGATATACCTGGGAAAACACATACGCACTAACATGTGACTTAAGCTTTCTTCTTGCTCAGAGAAGCTGTGGAAGCTCCATCCTTGGAAGGGTTCAAGGCCAGGCTGGATGGGGCTCTGAGCAATCTGGTCTAGTGAAAGGTGTCCCTGCCCATGGCAGGGGCTGGAACTAGATGATCTTTAGGGTCCCTTCCAACCCAAACAAGTCTACAATTCCAGAGCTGGAATACTAAACCTCATGCGCAAATTTCACTTCTAAACTGATACTGCAAAGGCAAAGAACCCCCCAACTTCCACACCAAAAAACCACAGAAAAATGAATGGAGAATATTAACTAGCTTATACAGCCAGCCAAAACTCCTCCTCAAACCGTTGCAATACCTTATTCAGATTCCAACATGGTAGCTGATTACTTTCTGCCCTACTTTCTAAGAGTACTACTTAGACAAATAGCTACAAATTTAAAGATAATAAAACTTAAAGAGGATAGTCAAATACCCTCTACGAAATTCTGTTTTCTTCCAATTGTTTCTAGAATACTTGTGGAGTTTGGAAGGAACTATAAAGCCGCAGTACATCAAGTTACACACTAGTTTATTTTTACACCCTAAAACCTATACATGAAAAAAAAAGTGAACAGTCAAACTGTGTTAGCATTGAGGAAACACTTATCTGTTATGCAATTAAACTCAAGAAAACTGTTTCCAGAAAGACAGCCCAATTAGCGCAAGTAAAGCCTCTGCTCAGTTTTATTTGCAGGTGTCAAAGAGAGAAATCAAAACTAAAATTCCTCCTGTGCTCTGGTTTACAGGAAAGCATAAATGCCAAGGCTCTACAGGGCCGTGCTCCCAGAATGTTTTCTCTTAGGATTGTTTTGTTCCAGCTGCCGGACTCAACAGTCCCCAGAGCCAAGGGTGGAGCGCTGTGAGTCACACCTGCTCCAGCAAAGACAGCAATTACACCATCCCTGCTCTGTGGGACTGAGCAGTTTCTCAAGATCCACATGTGGAGCCCAGTGTGGATTTACAGAAAGTCACAGCAGGAAGTATCAGCTTTCCTTCTTTCAGTTGTCTTTACAGACTGTATGGAATTCCTTCAGTATCTACTTGGTTGCAATTTTTAGGGGTAGTATTACTCTTCTGTTCCCCAGACACCAAATTATTGGCCTGCCAAAGAAAACAAGCTATTCCCATCATTAAAGGAAGTAAAAAATCCACTGACAACAAACATTCTTGTTCTTATCACTAAAACCAGAACAAATAAAACCAGATGAGGCATTCTAGCTGTCTGAGCAAAACGAACTCTCATATGATTGAATCAAAAGTGGAGGAGCACGACAGTGATTTGCAGTAGTATTCTTCTGATGCCTTTAAAGGCCTAAACCTCCCCGAAGGGGCAGAAAAACTGCACTTTTCATGAGAAGCAACATATGCTTCCCATCAGACTTGGTTCTTACACCTCACTTTCCTGTGGATGCCACAGCTGACTCATTTATGGATGTGGTTAAACATTCAGAGTATCCACCTGATTCCAATATTTTGTAATTGAACACTACTTGGCATTTACTTTGGCACAGGGATCCCAAACAAACCATTTTTATGAATTCTTTCTAATATTTTTCTTAAATGTCATGGAGTTCATCTGTCATTCAAGAAAAAAAAAAAAGTAAAGGCAGGTCTCATGATTCTCAGATTTTGCTTTACATCTATTCAACTGGTAGAGCTTTACCAGAGAGGAGGGCAGGATGGACACTATCGTGTTGAAAAGAAAGGCAACTTGAAACAGGACAAATGGAAAATTTGCAAAGGTATGAAGCATGAATGAACAAGAGAGTCAGGAGGATTTTTCTTCAGAGAAGTACTACTGGCATAGAAAATACCTGAAAAATCTCATCATGATCGTCACTAGTTATAATCATCTCATAGGCAACAGTATTTATCTTCTTAAATAACATGAACATAATGTGATTCTACCACTGCTTTTGAAGTGGTATATATATATATATGTGTGTGTGTGTGTTGATATTTCCTCTTATTTATGGTACACCAAACCTTCTTTTTGCATACAAATATTTTCAAGAAAGTTTAAGTGAGTAGTTGTAACTACATTGCCTTGTGCTAGCAGAAACACTTAAAAGGAAGGAAAAATAAAGCACATTACTAAAAATTGCAGCTAATAGGTAAGGAAAACTGAAAATTTGCTACATGGCTAGAGCATCATGCCAATGTTACCCACAAAGTCACCAAATCTAATTTGAAATCTAATTCCTGTTCTCTAGAAAATTCATAGATTCTAGTTGTTTAGTTGCATCCTCACTAGCTAAACTATAAGAATCTCCTTCCGCATTCTAGTCCAGCTTCTCTATGTTAAGAAAAATGGGTAATAACAAGTGAGGAAAAATGTTTCCATGTAGTCTAATACACAGTTTATTTTAAGACAGTAACATGTAATGACCCAGTGTAATACCCCAAGCCTTGCTGCTCCAAAGACAAGCAACAATGTGATTTGTACCATTGTGTTTTGTCAAAAGTACCAGTATAAGCAGGTGAAACACCTACTGAAATCTATTTCAACCATAATGCTCACCACAAATGATTTCACTTAGGTGATCTACAGGAGGCCACAAAACAAAGTTAAAAGCAGAGCATCAGATTGGGTGGCTTCGTCTTCCTTTATACACCATTGCTGTCACTTACATGGTTCCCTGGCACATGATGCTAAAGGAGTATTTACATAGCACAATGCAGTTTTTTGCAGTGCTTGTTAGGTTTTGCGAAGGGTTATTTTGCCAGAGAGAATGTAGCACTTCTAGGTCTTGGGATGATACTCTGCAGAACACACACCTTGCTTATGGGCAGCTGTTCAGCACCAGTCACGACAAGACTAGCTCCCTAAAGTTGCCATCAAATTATATTTAGAGTGTAATTCATGCCATGTTTTGCACTTGTCTTGCATTGGCCCAGGATTTCCAGGGAGCTGCTGTACCTTATTGTTGTTCCCTGTAGTCGATCAATTTTCTTGTTCAGTTCAGCAATGATACTGTGCAGCTCAGTGATTCGTTCCTCGTAGCGCAGCGTTGTTCGCTCCTGCACATCTTCGTGCTCTCTCATCAGGTGGGATTGCTCACACTAAAGCAGAGAAACCAGGAACAGAAAGGGTGTTATGGATAACTGTATGGAGATCAGATACAAGGCAAAAGTGCATAGCATTGTGGTTTTCTTACTCATTCTTAGCAAGCAAAAACGAGAGAGACAAAATATTGACAGGTACATAAAGGTACGTAATTACAAGATTTTAGGAATTGACAGAATATGCTGTGTACTTTTATTATTTGTTTTCTAAAGGGCACAAGTTGCCCCTCCTGCTTGAATAAAAAACGCCATTTGTAACTTAAAATATCTACAAATATTGATCTTTGAATCCAAGAGATTCATGGCACACTGTGAATCTTCAAGGATCTTCCCAATGTGCTCCGAATTAGAACAATTCCTATGGCAAAACCCACATCATTAAGTGTGAAATATAGAAAAGTAATTACACTTTGAGGTTATAAGGTTACAAGTTCTTTTCAAGTACAAGTATTTGGTTTTAATTAAACTTTAAAGATATATATTTTATTATGTTAGTACTCTACAATAAAATGTTTATGATTAGAACAATTAACAGGCTGCTTGTTTTTTATACATATCACAAAATCATCCTTCTTTCCCATCGAATTTTAAATCTAGCCTCTTTGGCTTACACTTCTAACCATCAAACACTCTATTTCAATTACAGCAAACAATTACAATCTACTGCAACTACAAATCAGCAGTGCAGGCTGACTAAAGTTATGCTTGGTAGTGGCTGGAAAGAGTAAGACTAACTTTTTCCTTCTAATGCCTCCCTTCATTCAAGCCTCCCTGCAACCACCCAATGGCTTGACAGCATATGTACTATGCTGTCAAAAAAAGAAAATTCACAATCGATGGTATAAAACCTACAGTCCTTAACTGAAGATCTGCAACGTAAAATCCTAGTAGCATTTCTAAAGATTACAGTTCATAATAATATTGGAGGTCCTCCAACACTGCTGCATCAAAAGCTTTTTTTCAAATCAAGTAAACACTCCATAGAGAGTTAACTCCCTAAACCATTTGTATCATAAATAAGACATACTCAAACTAGCAGGTGTGGCAGAATTTTCATAGTTTGTTCTCATATTTTTTGACATTATTTTGAAAACTAAGATTTACACTGACCTTCAATAACATTTTTATTTTAAATTTTAAATACACTGTGTTCCACAATTTTTAGGTTTCATGAGTGTGATGGTTCAGACTTGGCTCCTTGCCAAATGCTCAAACCCCAGCAGCAGCCTCCCCCCACCCCCTTTCCCCTTTCTTCTTCCCCTAGAGCAAAGGAAAAAAAAAACTATGCAAATTGAAGAACTTGAAAATTCAGCTAGTTATATAAAAAAAAATATATATTTGATGTATATTACAGTTAAGATGTTATGTACACAGCAAAAAGGAATTCCAACACCCCCCAAAGGGATAGGGAAAGGGGAAAGGGGAACCAAAGGGAATAAAAAGGGACATCGAGCGGATATATGCAATCAAACCCAAGAATTAGTAAAGTAACTAGTAAAACAAGTCCCACCACGTCCCTTAATAAAAAGCAGGATTGGCACACACGACCAGCACTCTGTTATCCTCCACGTGTCAGGCCAGCGGTCACTGCAGGCCTCAGCCTTAGATAAGCGAGACCAACGCAAGGACCCACTGTTCCTGAACCCCACCGGAAGAGAAGAGAGCGAAGATCTCTCCTCCCTTCTTATTTATACCCCGATTTACGTAAAAATCGTATGGAATACTGGGAACACTAGCTCTTCCTTGGTTACAAATTGGTAACCAAGGAAGGCCTAGATTAAAACCACCACAATGAGTGTGTACACTGAAAAGTAGCCCAGACACTAAAGGACCCTTCCATAGACTACAACAAAATAGTTTCTTACTCCAGCTGCAGTCAAAAGCACTTTTGCCTATACTAAGAGAAACGGACCATGTCACCACACTGAAAAGGAGAGTGAAGGGACACAGTTTAGAAGACTGAAAATATTCACCTAATTTCTAAGACTTTATGTTGGCAACTGATATCCTTAGAGATGTATATTATAGTGACTTTATTGTAGAAACATTCCACAATTTATTTCTCACATTTTTGGTTTTTAACATCATATCTGTCTGAAGAACTACCACGGCCTTCAGAGTGCAGAAGTAACACAGAGAAAACATTTCACAAAAGCTTTAGAGCAGATTTAGGGGTAATAAATAAAATTCTAAATTTCCTATGACACACATAGGCCCACAAATGGTACCTAAGCATTAACCAGATCCATCAGTTATATCCACCAGGGTTTTTTTTTTCCTTTTAAACCAAAGAGATCATTTCAGATGGAGTGTATAATAACTGTTTTCTGGCAATAAATAAAAACCCTATCACAACAATTTTTGTCTCTCTAAGCTACGCACTGAAAAGCAGAATTTGTTTATCTTGACTGAAGATATACGGACTCTCGCTAATGGATCTCAGACACATTACCAGACTTGCTTTCTGTTTTTTCCAGCCATTTCTCAGCCAACATTTTTCAGGACAACCATCATTTAGTGACAGATGTACTTTGTGAACAACCAGTAGTCTGGTAATATAAGACAACACCTTCACATTTGATTTTTTAAAGCGCTCTTGAATTATCTTAGGCAAAAGCAACTGAAAAGAGTTGAAAAGAAATCTCTGTGAAAGATAGGCCATGATGCTAACTAAGAACGGCTCTGTCTTGGAGGTGGGCACAGAATTACATCTCCAAAGTTCTGGTCATCCATGACAAGCCTCAACTGAAAAAAGGCAAAAGCATCTGAACAATGAACATAGTTCAGTATGGATCCCAAAATGCAGCCATGGAAAATTCTTTTATTTATACAGGATTGTTCTTTATTACAGAACATTCATCTCAAAGTTCAAAATGAAAAAGAAACAAATGCATCTTTTGGTACCAACTGCTGAAGTCTTTCTCTGGGATATTGCAACTATTCATCACCCTCCTTAGTTTCTTTGTTCTTTGAGTCTCAGAACACAATAATCTGCCACCAGTTTTTATTTCTTTCCAAGGTGTACAATATAAATTAACAGTGGATGGAAACACCATTGTCTGAACCCTTGATGGTGAGAAAAAAACCACAAGAGCAAGAAAATTATGAGGGAGAAGCATGGTAAGAGAAAATAATTCAACTCAAGCTTATTGTCTCAACATGTGATTCTTCTGCCTATTAATGTACAAAATTCCTAGTGAAGAAACACTAACAATGCATTAAATTATGTTCACCCTTATGTTAAATTTGCAGTGTTCAGTCAGAGGACAAAAAAAAAGAACCACCAGCAGCAGCACTCATTAAGAGATGCCCAAGTGCCTCAGGCTCTGCAGAGACAAACACTGGCTATGGTGTTGTTCACCAGAATACAAGTCATTACTTGAACAAGTTACAGTGATAAACCTGTCTAACAGGATTACAGGAACTAAAAATCTTTGCTCAACTAACACTGTACTTTAATTTAAGAGGAGTGGCAGATTTAAAAGTGGCAATCTATTAATCTGAATTTAGGTGTAAACATAAGTCTATGGTGCTAAATCCTCAATCATGACAACATGCATAGTCAGAATTAATTGTTTTTCATATATTTTGTGCATACTTGATGTGCAAGGCGAATAGATGTTCACAGAATTAATCCACGTCAGATAAGGACATCACAGAACAAGTAATTTCACTGTTCATCTGAACACCACTCACTTCTATTTCAAGTTACTCTGTTACATGAGAGCTGAAGCCTTCCTGTGAAGTTCACATGTTCTTACATGTCTGCAGAGACTGTTGCTTATGTTCTTATATACCTACAGTGTTGCTTTAATTCTTATATTGAAATTCTGCTGTCCCTCCCTATATTCTGAACAACGAAGAGGATGGTAAAGAATTATCACTGCAGTAATGGGACATTCTACTGTGTGATATAGGGTCCAGAATGGTACAGCACAGTCTTTGTTACCCTGTGCTAGAGCTATTCAAAAACTTAAAATTACAACTGAGAACAAAGAATGAGAGAGTAGGAGTACCTTGTGAAAGGAGATGAAATTATAAGAAAGATGTAGTAAGTGAATTGACTATCCTTGGTATATTCACTGAAATGTTTACCATGTTATTAAATCCCATGTTCTATCCCAAAACTGCAGAGTTCAATGTCACAAGATGTAGGAAATACCAAGAACGTAGATGGACTAGAAAGTAGATTATACAAGTCCACAGAGGATAGACCATAAAGGACTACAAAATGTGATGTAGCCTCCTACTCACAGATGCTGGCAGAAAGGTGGGGGAGTGTGAAGGAGGACAACTCTATGCATTTCTTATGCTCTCCATTCAGACATCCCCTGTTTATCACTATCAAAGCCAGGACACCATGCCAGGCTGAGCTATCAGAAAGCACTACAATTCTCATTAACCACTGAAAGATTTTTGGAAGAAGACATTAGTTGAGAATGACCGGTGCTTCATAGAAAATTTCATTTAATAGATCACCCTGTTGCCAAAGTGTACACTGACAAAAATGCAAGAGACAAAGAGATCTGCTGTGTTACTAAAATAATAGAGGCATGTAGAGAAACATTACAGCAAGCCTCTACAGACTGCAGATTTGGAAGCAAGCATGCTACAACCACCCATAATCAATTACATCACTTTACAAAATTTTAAGCCCAGGCTATCCAACTGTCTTTCTTCATTATTTGTCATTGATTACTTGAATTGTGGTTCCCCAAATCAGATCCACTCTGTAAATCATTAATCCTTTCTTCAAAATGCTTCACATGCCTCATGAAATGATGGGAAAGGTATTACCAAAAATGCGATTTAAGAGCTATTTTTTTCCAGAGAGCATTTACCATGCCAGCTGAAATGGAACATGTGCTGCCCTTGTAAGTATAATCCAGATGCAGAATAGAGATTTAATACTGACCCACTAACATCTGAGTATGGTTATGCAGAAACTCAAATACCTCCTATTTAATCTATGCCTTCTGAACCTCTGATTCACAGTAGACAGAGGCTGTAGGGGAAAAAATTGTATGATACAATATGAATTTGAAGGAATCTCTATGGAGTGGGATGAAAAATTTAAAAAATTATGTTAAGTAGCATACCTACTTGGAAGTGATGCAGTTAGAAAAAGAAGAAAAGATGCAGTATTTTCACCACTGTCAGTCTCAGTACTTAAACACAGCCAACACATTGAATATATGAGTTGTGTTTCTTTAATGGTTTATTCCGTAAAGGAGATTGTATTTTATTTAATACACGCTCTAAAAAAATTCTATCCAGTTGAGGGCATTTAAAAAAAAATAAACTGAAAAGAGACAAAACATTAAAACTTTATAGAAATTTCTCATTAAAAGGTAATTTTTTATCTGACATATAGCTAGCAACCTAGCTTCCACATATTTCAATTTTGTGAAAGGTGGCAGACGTCACTAGGATTGTGTTCATAAGCACATGTCTCAAGCTCATGTAACAACCTTCAGCATGAAAAATTGAGTCTATATACATATGCATAATTGATACCCCATCAAAGAAAACACCAAGCAATCTTGTGCTAACAGAGAACATATTAATTGGGATTAAGGATTGATCCTTAATCCCAGTTGCCATCAATGTGGATTCAGTACTGAACAGGAGCACCTACAAGGCGCTCTTCACTAGCTGAGAGATAGTACATGTGTTTTTAAACAAAGATTTGGAAAATAAAAGTAAAACACTGACAAAAACCTGTGGTTAGCACATATAAATAGTAATAAAGTCAGAGTGATCATGCAGAATGATGTGGATCATTTGGATACAGTGAATCATTCTGACAGTTTAATGACAGTGCAGCCTCATATCAAATTGTAAGACAGAAGGAGGATTCTATCTGAAGAATGCCACAGAAATTAAAAAAGGCTCTCAGGATTATAGCTGATAAACCACGTTAACTTTCAGTTTGGCTATAGCTCACATATTGAGGGGAATAAAAACATGAAAGTGGTTTTTATTTCTGGATGTTGCATTGATGGTCTGCAATAACAGTATCACTTACAAGCCCATAAACCTTTAAGGTAGCTGAAAAAAACCATTAGGGAATGCAGGCAAAGGCCAACATAAGAGAGGACTAAAGTAAAAGCCTAAATATCATGACTGCTTAAACGTTTCCACATTTGGTTTGAGTTTCATTAACACAGATACCAGGCCTTTCCAAAATGCACTGAATAGTGAAGACTCTAAATCTGCAAAATCACAGAATGGTTGAGGCTGACAGGGACCACTGGAGGTCATTCGTCCAAGCCCTTACCCAACCCACCAGCTCCAGCTGGATCGAGTACTTTCAAGGTTGGAGATTCTACAGCTTCTCTGGGAAACAAATTTAAGATGCCATACTTAACAGAACAAAATGCTTTGGTTGTCTCTATACAAGCATAAATGAATATGTGTTATGAATTAGTTTTGAAATGTAAAGTATTTACAAATGGTAGCTGACACAAAGACAGTATCTGAAAACAAAGGTTTTGTTTATAGAAGAGAGAAATATTAAGAACAATAGCTCAATTTTCCTTGTCTGCATTTGCATCTCTACAAGTGCTGTGAAATCATTAGAGATCAGATCTTATTCTTATTTAATCCCTTGGCTTTCATATGGCTGTGTTTTCCAGAACAGATAGACTAAGTTGACTTACTAGAGGTTAGACTGAGATCACAAATAATTTCTCATGTAACACCAAAGCACTGACAACTGGCAGTAACTTTTATCAGTGTTAATTTGTGCTGTGTTTACATCTGACCCAGAAGTGGAAGGCTCCGCAACCAGTTACCTAATCCACTGTGGATATGCTGCAACTCTTATATTCTAAAATATTTCAAAGCAGCTGTTGTTTATATTGGCTTCAAACTAAAACTAATCCAATTATTTTTAGGGGGTTTTTTTGAAGAATGTCATCAACACATAAAACTTACAACCCATGGCAACTATATGTCTTGCAGTCTTAAAATTCTTTTCACTTGTGACATTGTTAAGTATTTTATCCTCTCCCCACATATTATATTCCTCTCTGAGAAACAACAGCTACACAAAACCAAGGACCATCTTCAGAACCTTGAACTACTATTGCTCACCTGTGCTTTTGCCAGTTTCTTTTCCAACAGATCACGTTCCTTTTCTGTTTGTTGTAGACGTTTATTAAGCTCCACTATGTCTCCCTTTAATGAAGCCAGGGCTGCTAAATGAAGCTGGAAGACAAAAAGGAAAGAAACAAATTAACTAATTCACAAGCTATGCAGCAGTAGCATTTCAGAGAAGAGACAGTGTTATATAGCAGCTACAGTATCACTGGATTTCTGTAGTAGTTGATAGGAACTTAAGCAGAACAAAGTCTAAAAGGAAACCACATGCAAATAAATATTTTTAACATGGATTTTTTCTCTCCAGACAGCACATCCATTCCTTCACCATATCCTTTATAAGGATTTATACAGTGAAGAATAATTCAGCTTGAAAGATGTAGACTAGTTCTAACATTAGTTTATTAGGAGGTAGATTGAATCTTGTGCTATAAAACCTTGCAGTAAATGCTGACTAAGATTGGTATTAAAGAGTATGGTGTATCAAGTTTTGATGCCTTTAGACATATAGAGATTATCAGTTTGGTGAAGGGAACGACTCCACGCAGAGGATTTGGTTTTATTTTGCAACTAAAGCTTACTCCACCTTGAGCTACTCTCTGCAGTTCTGCTCAGTCCCACGCCAGTGAGTTTCAACGATTCTAATCTACTGAACCCACACATGAAGAACGTGAACTGTTTTTCTTTCTGCAGTAGATCCTTTTGATGAAAGATACGTTCTACATTTAACTGATAGCATTTGGTAATATCTATCAGGTTAGGATGACTAATAACATTGAAATTAGATTAGCTACGCAACTTAGAAAACAAGAACAGTTCTTACAAGAATCCTACACTTTTAACTTGTTCACACTCTCTTCCCATCCTTAAATATTTCATTCATCGTTGCACCAAACGACAACACTCAGTATTGACAATTACAACTGAAAAGTCCTGGAGGAAAACTAGCCAGTAATACTGAAGTCTTTCTTTGTAGTGGTAAAGAAGCAGCTTCAAGTTATAACGGGTAAGAAAACAAAAGTGACCTTGACCAGACCAAGCAACACAGCAAATATCGCTCTGCTGCCAAGACTTAGACTGAAACACAAACCCTGCTTCTAGTCCTTCATCCAGTTTTAGTCCCTCGCTCTGATATTTTATTGGGCGGGTCACTTAAAAGTTATTTTTCATATTTCATTTATAATGAATCAGCAAGTGAGTCCTATTTTGATATCAATTTTACCTCTCCAATACTGGAAGCCAGCAAAACCATAGGTGCTTTCACATACTGACATGAAAGCAGCTTCATGACAGCAGAGAGACTAGATCATTTGGCAACAGCTTCTTCACATACAGTATTGCCACTGTTATAGGAAAAACCCTCTGGCTTCAAGACAGAAAACATAACTTTAAAAGGTACTTGGATGTGAACCCTGCAGTTTTAAATGCTTATTGTAGAAGCTCTGGACACCCTCATTTGTGAGTTCAGTACAAAGTGTTTTTATTATGTCAGTTACAAAAACATCTTATACACATGCAGTTATTTGTTTCAGTGCAAATACACACATGCACAATTACGCGTTGCTTAAACGTTTCCACATTTGGTTTGAGTTTCATTAACACAGATACCAGGCCTTTCCAAAATGCACTGAATAGTGAAGACTCTAAATCTGCAAAATCACAGAATGGTTGAGGCTGACAGGGACCACTGGAGGTCATTCGTCCAAGCCCTTACCCAACCCACCAGCTCCAGCTGGATTGAGTACTTTCAAGGTTGGAGATTCTACAGCTTCTCTGGGAAACAAATTTAAGATGCCATACTTAACAGAACAAAATGCTTTGGTTGTCTCTATACAAGCATAAATGAATATGTGTTATGAATTAGTTTTGAAATGTAAAGTATTTACAAATGGTAGCTGACACAAAGACAGTATCTGAAAACAAAGGTTTTGTTTATAGAAGAGAGAAATATTAAGAACAATAGCTCAATTTTCCTTGTCTGCATTTGCATCTCTACAAGTGCTGTGAAATCATTAGAGATCAGATCTTATTCTTATTTAACCCCTTGTCTTTCCTGTGGCTGTGTTTTCCAGAGCAGATACACATAAGTTGACTCACTAGAGGCTAGACTAAGATCACAAATAATTCTCATTTGAAGACACTTGTGAATATTTCAACCTATTTCTTAAAACAAACCCAAACCCAAACTTAATCTCAGTAAAAACTGTTGCATAAAGAAAATACACTAAAGATTGTTAAAAAAATTACATGGAACGGGTAAACTAATGTCATTTCAGTGAGCAGGATCAGTTTTAGAACACATTAGAAAATAAAAGAAAAATAAGGAAAAAAAAGATGCAGTTATGGAAAAATTAATCTGCCGATTCACACTTGATGAATGGATCCTGGTGCTAATGGTACTTCTGAGAGTGCCTGAGGCCTAGACTAATGGCCCTGCTTCTATTACAACAGATGTTTACAATATCATGGAAACCAAAATTTTAGGTGACATGAGAAGAGAAGCCCAATACTGACACCTAAATGTAACCAAAAGAGAAAAATATCTGAATCTGGAGATTGCACAAAAGAACTATACATTAGAAAGTTCACTCCTTTGGGATTCTTATGAACCTTGACTGTAGCACTGGAGGGCAGCCCACACATTCTCACCAACAGCCTTTAAACTGACACTTGACACTGTGCAAGAACAGTCAGCCTTGTTTTCACCTTCCAGAGGAGGAACCTATCGCTACTTCCACTCCCAGTGAGGGAGCAAAGTAACAGCAATGCTATGAATGTATGAAAATGAGGTTGTGAGACACCAAGCTTAGGACAAAATACTGTCTTCACTTCAACTCAGTCTCATCACACTGTCTTGGACCACAACCTTTCTTTCATTAAAAATAAAAAATTAAATTATTATGCAATTATGAGCTAGGAGGGGTTTGATATGTCCCTATTTAGAAGGATTTTATCCCCACTTCAGTGAACTTATTTAGCGTTCCTACTCTCCCTACAGTCACTCTCAATTTAAGTCAGAAAAATTATGTCTATATCAGTCAATTGGTAGAAAGAGGAAACAGATCTATTTTTTTCTATCTCCCCCTTTGCCCAACAAGACTGAAGAAAATTAACCTAGGAGAAAAACAGTAAGGTTCAGTGCTGTCCTTTTCCCTTGAAAATCTCAGAATGCCAAATTTCTTTCCTATGTTCCTTTCCAGCTTGCTGAGGTGGTGGGCACACCTTTTGCCCCTCAGGAAAGAAAGGAGTAGAAAACTAATCCCAAGAATGAACCTCATTCAATCCTCTGCATTTAGCACTAAGGTGACCCACAGTACAGGGCCACTGTATACATCCCAGACAGTGTAAGCTCGTGCACAGTGACTTGTTTTCCAAGAGCCTCACCATTTTCTGTATAACCCTAACTTGCTCCTTCAACTTCAGCTTCTTCTGACAACAATCCAGACCTTTCAAAACAGAAATCGTTATTCAAGAACCACTCAAAAATTAAGATACTACTGACTATGCTAACGTAATCATCATTTACTAAAGCATCCTGTGGTTCTTTTGTTCTTACCAACACTTCTGAAACAGAAAATCATTTCTGATTTCTAATGACAAGACTGTGGAATAGCAATAAAGCTGAACTTAGGACCTCTGTCTCTAGACATGATATGCTATCACCATAAATTTAGGGAAACAAAATCTGTATTGCCATGTCAAATCAATGATCCACACATCCAGCACTTTGTTTCCACCACAAGCCAATCAGATGCCTCAGCAACAGGGGAAAAAAAAAAAAAAGAAAAAAAGGGCAAAACCCCCACCAAAACCTCTGGAACGTATTTGTCCAATTGTTTGAAATTCACAGAAAGAAAACATCACCCAGCTTTCCTTAGCAGCTCACACCCTAAAGAGCTTTATATTAGAATGTCCACTATGTAACTTCCAAAACTATATCTCTAAAATGATTTTTAAAAGCAGCCAATCAACTTTAGCACTGCTAGTTGTGGCAGATTGCTGCCACAATTACAGTTCTCTGTATGAGCATGTGCGTGCTTAACAAAATACATTAAATTCAGTTCTTAATCGCTTGACTCCTGCATCTCTCAGACCTCCGCATCCCTCTCCCTGCCCCTTTAATCTCAGGCCACCAGCCATACTCTCTTCAAATGTATTCCCATCACCACTCCTCCCAGGACCCCCTCTATCCCTAATTGCAACCACCAGTTAAAGGTTCTCCAGTGTGAACAGGTGGAGGAGTTGTAGTCTCCAGTGACCACCCCCCAGCTTACAGTGAAGTAGTGGGGTTTAGAATGTTTCTACAACACTCAAGTTTTACACGGCTTAGGTATTGCTAACCTTTACACTCCTGGCTGTAAATCTCAGACTTGTCCATGCTGCATTCCCAGGTCATTGTCTCAGTACAGAAGGTCAATTCTTAGTACAAGCAACTGTCTCCAACGTCACACTTACCACTTTAGGCAGAAGTCAGTTCTCGTGCCTCCTAATCTTAACCTGCCAAGCAGTTAAAAAAGGGATGCACAGGTTCTCCAAGGACAGGCAATTTCTTCAAATAATTTCTTCAATTCTAATATGAATTATGATGTGGTCTATCTGGACTTCAGCAAAGCCTTTGACACTGTCTCCCATAATATACTCCTGGAAAAGCTGGCAGCCCATGGCATGGATAGGGGCACTCTATGCTGGGTTAGGAACTGGTTGGAGGGCCGGGCCCAAAGAGTGCTGGGGAACGGGGCTGCATCCAGCTGGGGGCCGGTCACCAGTGGTGTCCCCCAGGGATCAGTGCTGGGCCCAGTCCTGTTTAACATCTTTATCGATGACCTAGATGAGGGGATTGAGTCCATCATCAGCAAATTTGCTGATGACACCAAGTTGGGAGGGAGTGTCAACCTACCAGAAGGCAGGAGGGCTCTGCAGAGGGACCTGGATAGGCTGGAGAGTTGGGCTGACTCCAATGGAATGAAGTTCAACAAGGCCAAGTGCCGGGTCCTGCACTTTGGCCACAACAGCCCCTGCAGCGCTACAGGCTGGGGACAGAGTGGCTGGAGAGCAGCCAGGTGGAAAGGGACCTGGGGGTGCTGATTGACAGGAAGCTGAACATGAGC